GTTAACAATCTGGACAATGGTGACTAGTCTCTTTCAGATTTCTTTGTGGATTATTGTCTTTCTTTGAATAATATACTATCATATTGGCCTTTCGTTTTTTTTTCTGTGGGATCGATATAAATACAATAAATATCTATCCGCTAAGGGGCCGGGGTTTAGCTCAGCGGCATAAAGCACCTGCCTGGCAAGTGTGAGGTTGTGAATTCAATCCCTGGTACCGAAAAAAAAAAAAAAAAATCTACCTACTAAACATGATGGTGAAGATGACAACAATGGATATCTGGCTTGGCATTTTGCTATACTGTATTTTTCAATTATTTGGCCTATGAGACCTAATCTACATTGTAAATGATGACCTTTTGAACCTCCTTGTTTTGAATAAATAACAAAACAAGTTCCATATTATTTGATCCAGAAGATGCATAAATATTTTATGATAATATTTTTCCCTCACTTTTTGATTATGGGATAGCTTGTTAGATGTTGTTTAACTCTGTCAACACCACCCACAAAATTTATTGTAATCATTGACTACTACTGGAATGTTTTTAGTTATGTTTCTTTTAATTCTATCATTTCTGTGCTATGAATAGTTGACAATACGGAGACATCTCTTTTGTTTTTCCATTTCATAATACAGACTTTTTCTCTCTGATGTTTTAACATTTCTCCTCTTTTTGGTGTTTTCAATGTCCTAAGCATGTCTGTTTTGTATTGTAAAAGCATATCAATGAGTTTTGGAGAAGTATAAAAATTTTATCTAGCGTACTTGTAAATTTTTGTAGATTGTAGTATAAAATTATAGGTTACTTTTCACAAATAAACACAAATTGTAAAAGAAAATAACCAGAATTGACTATTAGATTTCACTAGAAACAAACATCGAAGGTGAATACAACATTCTAAATAAAAAATATGCAAAAAAAGTCAGTATAATACTGAATAAACAGGCATATGAGTATATCTTCAACCAACAAGAATCAACTGGTTGATACCTGCCTCAGCAGTGTTTAAGACAGTCAGTACGTAAACAGATGCACTGCTGTTTGCTGCCTGGGTGGTGCTTGGGATAAACTGTTAAATGGTTAGCAATGAGTAGAGAAATTCAATAGACCCAGTGGGATTGGTTTAGCAGTGGTGGTGATGGGGTGAGGAATAGAGAGAAGTAAGGCAAAAAAGAACTTACTTGTGTGATTGAATTTAAATAAATAAATCCTGGTTTGTATGTTTCTATATTAGTTAAATACATTTAATGTTAACAGAGTATAAGTTTAATTTGAATAAATTTGTGAAAGGTAATTTTTGTTGTTTTTTAAAGATACTCTGTGTGTGTGCGCGCACGTGCATGTGCAGTCGTGTGCATTCATTCATTTGTTCCTGTGTTTTTTTAAAATAGGGTCTTCATATGTAGGCTAGGTATGGTGCAAACTTATAGTTACTATGCCTTGTATGAATGAGAAAACTGGTTGGACTAACCAATGTTAAATAAATCTAATCTTAATAGTTGAGTGAATACTCAACAATTGAAAGTATCTGGCCTATTTTGCCTTATTTCAGAGCATAATATGTATATGGGTAGTTAGTACCTGCTTCAAGGTTTTCAGAGGTACAGTTTTGGGGAGAAGCTTTTATGGTATATGATTGTTAGTAGTTAATGTGCTTACTTGATCAAGAGCTGCTTTTTTCTCAGTGTTAGGGATGAAGACAAAATGGTAAATTTTTTTTTTTTTGCAAGGGGCTTGTAGAGGCCTTTTACATTCGCCTTAGTTGTTACCTGGGGCCTGTGTTGCTTTGTGTAGAACCCGAGTTATGCTGGAGATACACTTCCCCATTTTAGTTGCTCCTTTTTCATTACTGCTGGCTAAGGGAAGGCTGGAACGTATATTTTACTTTTAGTCACATGCATATACCTAATATTTTAGGCAATGGAATATTGTAAAAATTGTTATGAATGTAATTATTTTATGTATCCTGATACTTGAAAAATAATTATTGTAATAAAAAAATTGAATTTCAGATAGCAAAATTTAAGTAGTTTTTTAAGGGTGGGGAAATGGTATGAGACTGATTTTAAAAGAGTAAATCAAAATCCTGGTTTACATATCTCTATATTAATTTAATACATGTAATTTTGAACAGTGTACAGGCTTACTTTGAATAAATCTGTAAAGGCTAGGTATGGCGTAAACTTATAGCTACTATGCCTTGTATGAATGCGAAAACTGGTTGGACTAACCAATGTTAAATAAATCTAATCTTGTTAACAGTTGAGTGAATACTCAACAGTTGAAAGCAATGATTTAAAAAAAGTGGTATTGAGCTCTGAACCCTCTTACTGAGCTATATACTCCACCTGCTCCTTTTAAATTTTGAGACAGGGTCTTTCTGACTCACGAAGTTACCCAGGCAGGACTTGAACTCTCAATCTTTTCTCTAATCCTTTTAGGATCCTGGGATTTACAGGTGTGTGCCACCATGCCTTGGTTATGGTTGGTATTCAAAGGCATCGTGGTGAGACAGGGAGGAATACGTCCTCCCTTCTCACATTCGTGGACTTGAAAATAGCTAGAATTCTCTTATGACAGACCCTTAAACTATTTGTGTTCTAGGTATTTGAGCAAATACAGTCAACCAAGAAATCTTTAAGGTAAAGTAGAAATGGAGCTCAATCTCAAAATAGCTTCCTACAGGATTTTTTCTCAAAAACTCCAAGTAGAATAAAGCCATACTTAATTTGTACTCCTTAGAATCTCTATTGCTTAGATAAATAAGCATGTAAATTACAGATATAAAACTCTTCAGTATAGTTTTCTTGTAATTATTAATGTCTGAAGTAATTTAGGCATAAGTTAGTGTTGTAATCAAAACCAAAAACTTGAATTCAGAAAGATGTACTACTAAAAGATGGTATTTCTGGCAATGATGTTGATTTACAAGAAAAACGTGTGTGTGTGTGTGTGTGTGTGTGTGTGTACATAGGTATGTATGTATGTATGTATGGGTGGATGGATGGATGGATTGATTGATTGAGAGATTTTGCTTGTTTGCCAGGCTGCTCTGAGTTCCTGGACTCAATGATCCTCTTGTCTCAGCTTTTAGACTACCAGAACAGCAGCAATGTGCCAACATGATTTTTTAAAATTATGATTTTTATTTATTTATAAAAAGCAAAACAAAAAAGGTAGAAATAAAACAATTTCAAAAAATAAGAAATCACTAGTTGATAAATTATATATGTTATCTTAGAAGTAGTTGCTCAAGTCAAAATCAAAGCATAAAAAGTGGGCATTCAAACAATGACAGTACAAACCATTCTGTCTGATGGACTAACAAAAATGTAGTAGTATAGTTATCTGTCTTGCACACTTATACATATAGTTGTATCTTTTAGAGCACTTTCTTTCCCTTTCATTATCTCAATATCTACAACACATTTTGAATCTATTACTCTTTCAGTTTTTATTTTTTTATACTAGAGAGACAATACGGTATTTACAAATGGGAGTCTGATTTATTTCATTTATGAGGATAGTCTCAAGTTGCCGAGAATTCTTGTTTCTCCTCCCTATGAACTATTTTAAATATATGGAGAAATGCAAAGAATAAAATTTCTGTTAGGTCTGAAAAGAGGGGAGAGGAAGAAGTGGAGTGGAGAGGAAGAGGTCCGTGGAAGGAGTGGAGTGGACGGCCGTGAAAGTAGTGGGCGGTGGTGGCTTTATTTCCGGAATGCGGGGAGAGACATCCCCCCCCCCCCCCACTGGCCCCTGGGCGCAGCATCTCCACTTTCATATCCCGTCTTATGATTATTAGGAAAAGGGGCGAAGATTTCTCTCTGTAACTACTTCCTGCTGGCTGAGGGCGCTGTATTGGGGTCTAGGGGAGTCGACGGGATGAAGGTTGATGCCCAGGTAGACGCTGATGTTAGGTGTTTTAGCCAGGACAACTTCACTGGTGAATGCACGTATGTTAGACTGGAAAAAACAAAGAGACAAGATGTTATGAGGAGACAAAATATGAAAGAGTTGCTGGCCCAGACCCGACACTTTAACCAGGAAAAAGCCGCAGCCGCTGCCTCCCCCGCCCCTATAGACTTGCCTGTAACCCTATACCCCCATCCCTGTAACTCTGGCGCCAAAACGTGTGCCAATGAAATACCTGTGCATCTCTAATGACCTTAGGGCACTGCCCTGAGCTTAGGCTATTTATATTCCCCCACGCCAGGTGTCCGAGAGAGAGAGATCGCCAAATTCCAGCGGCCAGTGCGCCAGTCTCTTCTCCCTGTGTTCCCGGAATAACCACGGCCCCGGTGCAGTGGAGATGCTGCGCCCCTGGCCGGCCAGGGGGGGGGGGGGATGTCTCTCCCCGCATTCCGGAAATAAAGCCACCGCAGCCCACTACTTTCACGGCCGTCCACTCCGCTCCTTCCACGGACCTCTTCCTCTCCACTCCACTTCTTTCTCTCCCTTCTTTTCAGACCTAACACTAACGTTATAAAAAATAACAATGTAATTGTTCATTTCTTTTGCTTTTCTGCAATGAAGTGTTTTTTATTACAGATAGCATGATAAATATTACTGTTTATAGTTCTTCTTTATATAATTGCAGGTCCCCCCCCCTTTACTATTGAAATACATCCTCTAGGGCTTATAAGTGAAATATTAGTTATTATATAACTATTTTATTAAAAATTTACTGACCATAAAGTATAGTGAAATTTTAACCATTTATCCACTGCTGCTTCTTAAGTTAATTAAACTATTTTTAATTGAAAGGCTGCAGAACTGGCGAGAGAGGAAAAATTATATTGTGGTTATGACAGTTCTCCTCCTCTTTTCCAGGTGTCTATAAAGATTGTGTTTTAGACATCAAGTGCCAGGCAGCAGTTTTATGTATATTTAAAAAATTTATCTTTATTAATTTTAACATTTTAAAGACCTGGTTATTCTGCTTCTTTGCATCTTTCTGATTACTTTCATACTTAATTCTTTCATTGTCCTTAGGATTCTAAAATTTCCTCTATGGAACGTGGGCTCCGAGACCTGGAAGAGGAAATTCAAATGCTGAAGTCAAATGGGGCTTTGAGTACAGAAGAGCGGGAGGAAGAAATGAAGCAAATGGAAGTATATCGGAGCCATTCCAAATTTATGAAAAATAAGGTAAAGATGTATGATATACTTCAGTTTTTAGCGAAGATTTGAAAATTTCAACCTGTTTTACCTTTTTAGCAATGATAACGATCAGCTTCACTGTTTTATCAGACTTAAGGGGCTTTTTTTGAAATGAGGTTAAAGTCAGAAGAATTAAAACCAATTACTGACATTATATATAGTTACTGCAAGTTTTTATTTAAAAGAAAATTACTTGCTTGAGACTAAACATATATCGCCACAGTTTAGCTTGTCATATCTATTTGTATTTTTGAGGTGATAAAGTAGAATATATTTTATTTTAAGGTTTCTCTCTATGTGAGACTCCATTTTTCTGAACTCTTCTGAAGTATTTTTAAGTCCAAACCCAGGAGGCTAAATCTAATTTTTTCCCCCAAAATGGGTCAGGTAAGACTATGTTTTCTGTTCAAATATATTCGAAAAGACAAGTTATGGGGCCTGGGGTTAGCTCAGCAGTACAAGCACCTGCCTGGCAAATGTGAGATTGTTAGTTTGATCCCCGGTACAAAAATAAAACTAAAGCAAAGCACAAGTTCTCTTTGCTCTGACCCGTGGGAAAGGCCTGTTTGCTATCAGCTTTATTGTTTCCCATGTACACTTGAGTACAGTAAGATAACTACTACTGAGACTTATTGGTTGTATTTCAAAGTCAGTTATAGTATTACTTCCTCAGATCAAAAGTCACTTAACTCTTTTGTGTAAACTGTTTAGGCAAATTGGAGGATCTTAGTGATTGTAGTTATCAATTTATCTGTTTTGTAGTGGTTTAATTAAAAATAATAATGATAGGGGCTGGGGATTTAGCTCAGCGGCATAAGCACCTGCCTTGCAAGCAGGCGGTCGTGAGTTCAATCCCCGGTACTGATAAAAATGAAAAAGACAAAAAAAAAATAATGATAAAAGTTTATGCAAGAAATATTAACTGTGTTCTCCAAAAGTATATTCCAATTGCATTCTTCAGTTTCTAAGAACTGGAAACTAAAACATTCCCAGTGGAAAGGAATGACGGTTGTAACTCCCTGTCCCATTTCTGGCCTCATATACCCATACCTGATATATCAATCTGGATTATTCCTCTAGTAATTTAATAATCTGCTATCATTGATTTTTGTTAATGTCATGTTCAGTTTAAGGCTTAAAAATTCATATATTCAAGTTTTTGTTAGCTTGGAGTTTTTACCCAAATTTGTGAACAAAATACACTGCCATATAATTTCTGTTTACATTTTTTTGGGGAGTACTGGGGATCAAAGTCAACCTCGTGCTTGCCAGGCAGATGTTTATGCCACTGAGCTAAACCCCTGGCCCTATGCTTCATATTTTATAAGCACATTCTAGTTCATTAGAAGAGTTTATGGAAATAGAAAAACCATCTACATATGTCCTTTGAAAAGCGAATTAGGGCCCAGTGTGTGGTAGCACACACCTATAATCCCAGCACTTAGGAGGCTAAAACAGGAGGAGTGCTTCAAATTCGGGGGCCAGTCTGGGCTACATAGTTAGTTCAAGGGCAGCCTGAATTACAAAAGGAGACCCTGTCTTGAAGAAAAACAAAGGAAATTAGGGGAACAGATTTGGTTGTGATATATAAATTAATTGCTATTTTCAGTGACCTCTTGGGGTGGAAAGCAGATTAAAAGAATTAAGTTGACACAAGTAAAAAAGAATAACAATGTCGTGACAGGTAGAGCAACTGAAGGAGGAACTAAGTTCGAAAGAGGCTCAAGGGGAGGAGCTGAAAAAGAGAGCAGCTGTTCTTCAGGCTGAGGTGTTTGCCGTAAGATTTACCTCTCTGTGTGCTGTGGTCCCATGGTGGGCCCTGCTAGCTCTGGCTTCTGGGTGGCTTACACTCTTCTATGGTTGGCAGCTTTGCCCAATATTAGCACTAACCAGCCTGTTCTGCTGTTTAACCAGTTCTTCCTGTTTACCAGTTTGTCCCACGTGTCAACTTTGTGTGCCCTGGCCCTCATGTGTTCTGGAAGCCCTATACTTGGCTCTTTATTGTTGCTTTTGCAATGGATGTTATTTCAAACCTTGTTTTTTTGAATCCATTATTAATAGAAATAGATACTTGCTGATTTATATGAATGTTGGTTGTCTTTTCTTAGATACGGAAATATGCAGATGCATTAGGCCCATCACCCAGAGTTTATTTGAATTTGAAATTCTTAAGTACTTTACCCACGAATGTAGATGTTATTTTTTAAAATTCTAACGCATGATTTTGTGACAAAAATGTTATTTTCTTTAGGGCAGATGTGTAGAAAATGATGCACTTCTTAGAGTTAGGTAGTGAATCAAAATTAATGTGAGGCTTATATCATTAATTTAAATCTAGTTCAGCCTTTTGAATTTAAAATTTCAAAACATATAAAACATAATAATAAGATAGCTAATACCTGTACACTTATGAGGTGTGGTAAAAAAATAGTGAATATTTACATTTTGAAATTTTAATTTAGTAAAAGGCACATTGCCATTCAGAATACTCCCTCTAACTTTAAAACACACTCCATCCTTCCTGACAATGTATCTTTGTGTAGTAAGTTTTTAAACATTCTCAAGAGTTCTTGATCATTCTTTGTGTCATAAATGTTTTATAATCTGCTGAGATTTCTAATCTCAGTTTTATACAAGGAAACCAAGGTAACATAACGATGCCTAGGGGAGCATAGCTAGTAAGAGAAGGGTTTGATTTTATACAAGCAGAAAGTGTGATTCCAGAAAAGGCGCCGATAAGCTCTTTACTCTCTGCCTTATATTTCCCTGTATACATACTGCTAAAGTGTCAGAAAAAACTGCTGCTAGAAATAATTTTTGGTTAAAACTCGAATGTAGAATTAAAAAATAAAAGCTTGTGCTACCTTGGTATATTTTGAAGGCCATTTTATAAGGAGAGGAAAAAAAGATATTTTGTTTGAAAGGATCTATGTAGCATATGGAAATGTTGATCTACAACTATTTTTTCATAGCTACTGTTATTCATTTCTTTGTTGTGTCAAATAATAAAGTCACTTCATAAAGTCATTAGAGCTATATGTACAACTTACATAATAATGCAGCTATTGAGGAAATTCAGATTTCATATTTATTTTTTATTCTATGATTGGAAGTTGATGGAAATTGTAATGATCTTTAAGCCTTTCTTCTTTACTAAAGAAGTTGTGACACTTTGAACATTTCTCATGAATATTTATTCATATCTTAGTATAGTCTCTGTGCTAGGGATTAAAACTATTGTGAGTTACTTATTGGTAAGAGAATATCATAAATATCCTTAAGTAGTTTACAAAGAACAAACATTCAGAAATCTTATTGGATGAATAACTGTGTAAACAGAAATTGTATGTGTATGAGTAAATGCTTATCTTTTTGTTGAGTGAGTTGGAAGTTTATTTTTAGTTGTTCTTAAAAGTCTGATTTTAAAGTAAAATTTATTTTCCCATGGAGAATGTTGTATATGCATTCAAAGTTTTAAAAATAAACAACTGTTTTATGGGTGACACTAAAATTACTCAACTTTCTGTCAAATTTATAGCTCGAATTGTCTTTTAGTGCCTTGCTAGATGGTGCACACAGTTTAAAAGATGATCTGAGCTGGGTGTGGTAGCACACACCTGTAATGTTAGCACACTGGAGACGGAAGCAGTAGGATTAGTAGGAGTTTGAGGCCAGTCGAGGATACATAGTAAGTTTATGGCCAGTCTGAACTATGTATCTTAAAAAAAAAAAAAAAAAGCAGATCTGAATTTTTTGGCTTAACTTAGAATAAAATTAATTTAAAAATTCTTAGAAATAATAGGAATGTAAAGATGCTTGAGGCAAACACTTTTTATGTTAAAAGAGATATCTATGGAAGGATGAAAGGCATCAATTGGTTCATTTATGGACCATTTATCCTTTCAGGGTATTGAAAATTCTTACAGAGTGAAATTTGACATATTCTCTTTATTTATGTCACGTACTTTTATCCATTTAATTGTATAGATGATAGAATCTTACAAATTGGTTTTTTTTAAAAGTTCTAGACACATAACTCATCAAGATTATAGGAGTTTTAGAAAATCGCAAGACTGGTAGTGCCTTCTAGCACTGAAAAGTAGCTTTTTAAAATTTAGATGTTATGAGACTTTTGTTTGAGAAGTACAATAAAACTTAATGTAAAAAAGCACAGTACTAGCTTGATTTATTTTATTTTATTTTATTTCATTTTTGAGACAGGGTCTCATTCTGTAAAGGCTGGTCTTACTATGTAACCCAGGCTAGTCTCAAACTCAAGGTGATCCTCCTGTCTCCGCCTCCCAAGTGCTAGGATTACAGGAATGTTCCACCATGCCCAGCACGGCACTAACTTTGAACATTTCTTTCTAGTTTTGTATTTACAGTATTCATTTGCTGTAACACATTCTGGAGATGGCTGACTTATAAAAATTGAAAATATTTTAACAGTTCAGTGATATTTATTGCTACCTTGTAACCTAATTGAATCGGGAAAATTGTATTTCTTTTCTAAGTGATTTCAAAAAGTAAAGACAATAAATGGAAACTAAAAATGTGCCCGTTTGTTGAATAAACTTAGTTTTTTGGAGGGGGAAGGAGTGGGTCCAGAATTAGGTGATGCTAAAAGAAAAATATATCTGGTTATAATTTTTCAGTAATATGCGGTGGTGAGGAACAAACCTATAGCCTTGCACATGCTAGGCAATTACTCTTAAGTTTCATATTTTGTCATTTAGAGTCCAGATAGGAGGTGATTGTTTGGTTGTTTCTTTTTTTCCTTACAGTGTTTTCTTTTCCAGATTGGCCAAGTGAAACAGGAGCTGTCCAGAAAGGACACAGAGCTATTGGCCTTGCAAACAAAGCTGGAAACTCTCACAAACCAGTTCTCAGACAGTAAGCAGCATATTGAAGTATTGAAAGAGTCACTGACTGCTAAGGAGCAGAGGGCTGCCATCCTACAGACCGAGGTAAAAGAGTCCTGTGATTGTGTGAAGTGATTCCTTGGCACCTTTTCATAAATCTCTTGACTTCTTGTTTTTATTGTTTTTGGAGTTGGAAAATATGAATAATATTAGGAATTTTTAGAGATGTGATCAGTTATTATAGTCAAATAGAATCATCTTGTTACAGTTTGTAGATCTAACAAATTAAAACTAGTTTGTGCTTCAGTATATTCTTAATTTACTATTCAAGTAAAATAATATAATAGTTATAAAAAGAGAAGCCATTGATTTAGAAGCTTGAATTGTCATCCATGATTAATTGTTATGCATAACAATGAACTTGGTTCCGTGACTAGATGGCACATAGTGTCCTTTAGTTTTGGATACTATGAATAACTGCATGAAGAGAAACTGGAATCTCTAGACTTTCTATGTTCTAAATACAGTTTTGAGCTATAGATTAGTAGACAAACAATCTGTTTGGAAACAAGGTTAATGTTTTTAGGAATTCTAGAAAATTATCTAGGCTCTTGGCCCTGATTTCAGTAGAAATACACATATTTCTTTTGAGTGAGAATGATGTATTAAGGTTCAATTAGTAAGCTTTTAATTTCCAGTAAATCGTTCTTATCTCCTCTATAAAAATAGGCACATCAGTAAAAGTCCACCATCTTTTCTGTAACACTCAGTACAAAGTGTTCTGTGTTTTGAATGAATGGTGTGCAAACAGCTTTCTTCTAACTAGTTCCCTGTACTCTTTGCATCATGGGCCTTTTTTAAGTCTACCCTGTGCTGTTCAAAGCCTAATCACATACTGACTTTCTCTTCCTTAGATAGCCATCCGTCCTCAAGATTTCTGTCCATTAGACATTCTGCCAGCCTGCCCAAACCTGCTTCAAACTCTTGTTACTTCCTTACTGAATGTTGCAAGGTACTGGTTCAATCGCTATTTCCCTGGACAACATGTTGAACATGTGTCACTTAATATGGCAGCAATTCATCAGGGATAATTCCTAAAGAACACATGTTAGCCAGTCACATACTGACACATTTGGTTCTTTGCTACAGAAGGGCCCCACGCCATTTAATACATTGGTTTATTCACATGGCATGTTTGATTTCTTTGCATTTCCTTTAAGAATTTCTTCTACATTATAGCTGTGGCTACCAAGAGCTGGGTAACCTAAAAAAAGTTCAAATTGCTAGTTTATTAGGGTGTTTTAGTTATTATGACTAGCAGGAAATCCTTTCTTAGAAAAGATGAAAAGTGAAGAGGACATTTCACATTAAAAAAAAAATCCTATGGGAATAGGTTCCTAAGTAAATAATTATATGGAGAAATGTTTATGTACATTTTTTTTTTTTTGGTCTTTTTGAGGGTCTCACTATGCAATTCAGGCTGGCTTTAAACTTACGTTGTAGCTTAGACTGGCCTTGAACTTGCAGAGATCCTCTTGCCTCAGTCTCCCGATACTGGAATTACAGGTGTGCACCACTACATCTGCGCACAAAATTTCTGAAGCTTTATAACAGTGAAGATTAGAAATAACCTAGTCAATGGTTAAATGAACTGAGTTGCATTAATTAAATGGAATAGCCACTAAAATGATCATTTTGTGCAAAATTTGATGCCACAAAAAATCTGGCAAGTATGAAATAAAAAAGAACCAGCTAAAACTGCTTACAGTTTAATCCCAATTATGTAAAAAAGTATATACTGTACATACAGTTATACATGGGGAGAGCTGTTGAAGATGGTTACCTCTAGGTTGAGATATTTTTTCTGGTTTATACATTTCTGTAGCTTTCAAGTTTTTGCAGAAACATTATTCTATAACTTGGAAAAATGTAAAGCTGTCTCTGATGTACTGACAATAATAATGTAGTTAGATATTTTAAATATATAGGAAAAGATTTATTGTGCTTCATTTTCTGTGACTTTCTAGGGTATATATTCTTTTGGTAAGAAACAATTTTTGTTTTATACTGGTTATAACACTTTAATAAAATATAATACTGTGAGCACAGCATTGTTTCTTTCAGAGCCTAAACAGACGCTGGGTTCTAAAACTAGGTTCTTTGGACTGGGGATATAGCTCAGTGGCACAGTGCCTACCTTTCAATCATGAGGTCATGAGTTCTATTCCTGGTACCCAGCTCCAATAAAAAAATAAATTCAGCTAGGTTCTTCAATTTCCTAGATTTATAATTAGTATCTTTTTATCTTCTTAAGTAAAGCATTCTGCATATATGTATTACATGCATGCTTTCTAAAAATATCCTAATTTACAGTTTTCATACATAAAGGAAAAAATTGAGATTATGGTAGTTTAAGTCTATAGGCATAAACATGTTTATGAAATGTATCCTTGAGAAATAAAAAAGGGAAGTTTGTATGTAAAAAAAGTTTTGGACTGAATTGGTCAGAATTTATTTTGCCTTGCATCAAACCACACAGAATCTTTTGAAGTCTTTTATTAGTTTAATTGACACTCCAGAGTCTATTCTTGAATTCTATCATAAGAACTCCATTTCTTATTTTCAAAAGGAATGGGGATCAGGATTATCACATTAGGTTTATTTTCCCATTTTAGACAACCAGACAAAAGAGCCATAATGTGGAAAAGGAAGTAGATGGGGGAACAATAAAGAATCAAAATGCTAGCTTGGTACTACGAGAATCTTCAAGTGTAGTGAGGAATGGGTTAGTATATAAGGAAAGAACCAATTCATATTCTTTTGTCTGCCCATTTTCAGGTTTGTTGTAAATACGAAATTTGGATGATGTGCTGATTATTTTTAATTTTGAGGGGGTACCGGAAATGGAACTCACAATCTTGTATTTACTTGCCAGGCAGGTGCTTGTATTTTTAAATTTTTAAATCCTGTTTTGTCATGATACCAGGTCAACTAGATGCAATAGTGGTTTAAAGCTCTGACTCTATAGAGTCATATCACTGAGTTTGGACTTCACTTGTAAATTTATAACATGAGAATAGATACAAGCACTTAATTCATAAATTAGCTTTTAGCATGAAGCTGGTTATGCATGTGTAGTGGCTGGTATATAGTGTAGGTTTTGTATATTTGGCATTGTCATCATAATTATTATAATAAAATAGGCTTGTATACATAGGTTAAGATTTTAAAAGGAATGTAGTTGGTTTTTTTTTTTTTTTTTTTTTTTTTAGAATAGCTTCTCTTTCATAAATTTTTTAGGGGGAAGGTATTGGCAATCAAACTCAGGGTGTTGTGCTTGCTAGGCAGGTGCTGTGATGCTGAGCTACATCCCTGGACTTGTTCTTTAATATTTTACTGGGCTACTTTATTCAAGGAATTACAAATATAAAATTATCTGTAAGATACTGCAAAAGTATTCATTGTCTTTATAGAGTTTTTCACTTTAGTAACTTGTGCATGTAGAACTACAAAAGGGTCAGTAGAGGGAGCCAGTGTCGCAGAGGTGTGGGCCTTGCTTCTCAGTTTGCTTCTGTGATACCTCTGGGTAGAGGTGGCAGGTGTGAGAACTGGAGAACCAAGCATTTTGTACATGATATTGCAAACATTTGAAAGCTTGCCACAGTTTAATAAATGCCATATTCTTGGCAGTCCATTCTCGTCTTTATACCCAACTCAGATAATGTTCTTATTAGATAGATCTCACATAGTTCGGCTCTGATTAGTTTCTTGTGGCACAGAGAATAAAGACTCTGTTTGTCACCATTGTAGGATGGTTTTTCAATTCGTTTTTAGCCATTGTGGGAGAAGCTGAGTCTTAGTGATTAATAAATTAAGTTACTAAGACAGTTGCTTAACTATAATAATTTTATCCTAAATAATGAGTAAGAAAGTTATCTTCCATTTGAATTTGGGCTGATTTTAAGAATGTAAAATGCTTATTTATTAGAATTTACTGTAAAAAAAAATTTCCCTGGTAACGTTTGACAAGTCACCTTTACCAAAACATCTTTTACATACTGTAGTTCAATGAAAGACAGTGTTTGTACCTGCTCTTTGAATGTTCTGTTTTTTTTACTGTGCTTATAATTGATATTGTGCTCTTTTCTTTAGCTATCCTAAAGATACAGATTTAGATGTTGACCTAACATTTAAGTCATTAAAATTAAGAACATATGAAAAGAATGTGGATCTTGGAGCTTTTTAAATTTTAAAAATCTTTAAGGTAAAGAGTGGATGGGAAAAGTCCTGTTTGAGGCCCTCTGTTGATATACATTGTACAATATATATGGAATTAGTCCTATTTTATAAACATTTATTTTAATCTGTTGATCCCAGAGATGAACTGAATTTAATAACACAGTGGTTAAAAGTATAGACTTCGGCATCAGACCTAGACTTTTAAAGCCCAAGCCTGTATGTTCATCATTATGTGACCATAGCTGAGTTGCTTTATCTCATTAAGCTTCTATTTCTTTTTCTGTAAGATGAAGATAATGACAGTGACAATTTCCTAAGATTATTATGGGTAAAATAAGTATTTAATTAGGTAACTCATCTGAATATTTAAGGAGACTTAACATTGAGTGGGTTAAAAGTTCTCCCCAACAGTTTACCGTTAAGGCATATTTGTTTTATTTGATCTTTTGTCTTATTTGTTCCACATAGAAATGACATGGGTTGGGGGGAAGACATTGTTTTGCTTTTATAACTGAGAATTACAAGTGCTTATTAGCACATTACATTTGATTGACACTTTGCGCTCACTAGTAATATTGGAACTTTTGATATTGGTTACAATATTTTCAGTAATTTTTCTACTAATGCTCACTTTCTTATTCCTAAATCTTGATGCCATACTATGAGATCTCACTGAGTGTTTTTAAAGATGATTTCCCAGTATGCAGAGCTGACCTATTTTACTTACAAAGTAAAATAGTATCTACCTTACTGCCTCAAAGTAGTCTATTTTTTTCCTTCTCCAGAAAATTGTGTTATGGGATTTTATTTATTATAGGTAAGCATTGTCATCTGCATCATAGTGACATGGTCTTGTTTTCTTAGGT